GTCGATCACCCCCAAGTTCTTAGATCGAACCATATGGGCTCCTCCCAATCCCACTACCCCTAGTATATGCAATACAATTGTTGATTAAAAAAAAAAATACATGCAATGTAATTGCCTTATTTCAAAAAGAAAAAAATCTCTTTCAAGGTGAGGTAATTTTGTAATTATAATATTATGTAAAATTGTAATTTTATAATTGTAATATCCCCAAATTTTTAGGGACTTAGTTGTGAGAGATTCTTATTAATGAACTTAATAGTGAAACTTTCCAAAGTCAAGGGGCTTAAAAAGGGGAAACATTTAGGATAAGGATCAAGCTGGTTTTTTTTCTTTTTCTCTCCAGCCACTTTCGGGTTTTGCTCATTTTCTTCTTTCCCGTCCCCTGCATCCTCCCCCAAGCTGACGACACACCCTCTTGAGGAGAAGAAATGGTAAAGCTTGATTTTTCTCTTCCTTTCTTGTTTAATCACAAGAATTAGGACCTAGAAGCCTCCTGAAGCAAGAAAAAATCCCAGATCTAGCTGCCTTCCTCCTCCTCTGCCGTCGATTTTAGCTTGGTGTGGGTGTGAATTTTCGGCTTTTCTGGTATGAATCAACCATGGAATTCATCTTTTTTTTACTTAATTTGGCTTGGGTTACTCTAATTTTGGTTGTGGGTTCTTGAATTTGGTAGTTGCCGTGAGTCTTCCATTTCTTCCCCGTCGGCTTCCTTCCCAGCCGGACCCGGTGCTGCTTGCCGGAGTTTTTTGGTATGATGGACAGCCTTTTTAAGTCCAATTATCAATTAAATATTGTCCATTTAGTTGCTTGTGTTGTCCGAGATTGTGCTAGAATTATGGGATAATTTTGGGTAGCATAAAACACGTTTTAAGCTTGGTTGAGGTAGAAATTTCTTGATTTAGTTGCTGTGTGGTTTATAGGGAGAAAAATCCCGTGAGTTAGCTAGTGTTTTGGCCAATTTTGGAAGTGCAGCAGTGTTCACGGCACTGTTCACGACACTGATGGCCAACAATTAAATGATTAGTTTGTAATATAAGAATAAATGTGGAGATTGATAGGAATAGTATCGTGATTAGAGGTGATCTTAATGAAGATTTCACCTTGAATTTATGATAGTACGGTATTAATTTTGGGGTATTTTGATTAGGTTCTTGAGTGTTTTATCACCCGAGCACTTGGCTTGAGTTCCCGGTATTACGGATTTGAGGTAAGTAAATTTATGGTAAAGCCCTTTGATTTTAAAGCATATTTTAAACTGTTTTTGAGATGGTGGCAAGGTTTAAATTGATTTTATCAGCATCTGAGTGTGATTAAATTGAAATGAAAGTTTGGATGATTTTAATGAGAATTTCCTTGTTTTTCTGGAATTGAGCATGATTGGAATGAAAATGAGAATTTCATTGTTTTTCTGAAGCAGAGCATGCCACTTGGAACTTATTGAACTGCTCTGATGATTTAAGAATTTTTCGTAAATTATGATTTTCTGTTAAATCCATGCCCCACATGGGAATTTCTGGTTATTTTTGAAATTGAGATTTGATGGCGAATTATGGATTTTTTGGAAATTCTGCATAGTTTTGTCTCTGATATAGTCATGATTAATGACGCCCGCTAGTGGGAGTTGTAAACGCTAGCACATGTCGACATGTATTTCTGTAGAATCGGTTCACCCTGCCAATGGGGTTAAACATTGGTCATTACTGACGCTTGCCAGTGGGAGTTGTTAAACACTGGTACTATTACTAACGCCTGCCAATGGGAGTTTGTTAAACACTGGTACTTTTGTAACCCTGCCAATGGGGTTAAACATTGGTTATTACTGACGCCTGCCAGTGGGAGTTTGTTAAACACTGGTACCATTACTAACGCCTGCTAGTGGGAGTTTGTTAAACACTGGCCATGACTTATAGATGAGACTACTGATGAGTTTTATTATGCATGAATGGTTTATCACTGAAAGTTCTGTTATGCTTACACGGTTTATCTGGCATGCTTAAATTTTTACCAAGGGCTATCCATATTTTTACTTACTGAGATATTTTATCTCACCTCGTTTTCCTTGTCCACCATTTCAGGTAGTGATACCCGATACATAGGGAGCCGAGGGAGTGACGAGCTAGACGGCTAAGCATTACATTGGATTTAGATCTTTTGGAGTTAGGCCGCTAGTCTCACATGGTTGACTCAAATAACCATTTTTGTGTACAGAGTTTCCTTGGTTATAGCCATGACCGTTTATAAACTTTTGTATATTTGGAATAGTAAATTTTTTGATAATGGAAAGTTAGATTTTACTTGAGTTTTAGATTTGAATTATCTGAATTGGAAATTAAGAACTCAGTAAGTTCCGAGTCTTGTGCATTCGTGGGACCCGTTTACGAGTGCACGGCATCTGTCACGTCTCCGGATTTGGGTTCTGGGGTGTGACAGATTTAGTGGTATCAGAGCCTAGGTTAAATTAAATACCTAGGATTTGTTTAGCATTTGGCTAGCCAAGGGATCATAAGAACGTGGTGAGGCATGAGAGTGGGGTTGATTAATAGCGCTTAGTTGATTCTTTTTATGTGTGTTGAAATTATTAATTATTATGTTATTTGGTCTCGGAAGTGGGAACTTGCCGGGTCATTCTCAGTTGGGGCAATTGATTAATGATCTATAAACCTTCTGTGTGATTATAGATGGCTTTGAAACGGCATGGGCGCCCAAGGAGCAGCCGTAAGGACTCGGGCACTCCTCTGATCCCAGCTGCCAATCCCCCTGCCCAAGCTGCTCCTCAGGAGGGAGGGACGAGCAACCCTCAAATGGCCACTTTCTTTCAGGAATTTATGGTGGAGATAAGATGCCAAGCATCTCCTGCCACAAGTGTGCCACCTCCGTCCCCAATGATTCCCACCCCGGCGGCCCTTGCTCCTATTTCTCCTGTTCCTATCTCTGCTGCTCCTGCTGTGCCTAGCTGGAAGATTTATATTGAATTCCAGAAGGTGGTGACTAGGAGATTTGATGGTACAGCGGGTTTTGAGCAAGTAGGGTCATGGTTGACCGAGGTGGAAAGGGGGTTCCGCCTACTGAAGGTTTCTGATGACCTTAAGGTGGATGTGGGCAGCTATATGCTTACAGGTGATGCATTAACTTGGTGGGAGACTTATTTGAAGCTACACCAAGGGGAGCCTGAATTAAGTACCTGGGATGGGTTTAAAAGGGTGTTTATGCAAGAGTTTATACCCGACAGCAAAAGGCGGTAACTACAAAGAGAATTTGCAGATCTAAAACAAGGGTCACGTACTGTTGAGCAGTACAAGAAGGAGTTTGACCGCTATCTGCCTTTTGTGGGTGGTCAAGTCGAGGATGAGCAATCCAAAGCTGATAGATTTTTGTGGGGCTTGAATCCTGACATCTACCTGGCGGTGAATCAATTCAAACCTGCCACTTATAGAGAGGCAGCGGACAGAGCCATAGATCAGGAGAAGGCTATGGCTAGGGTCAAGACACAAGATCCACAAAAAGTTGGGTCATCTTTTAAGAAGAGAAAATTTGATGAGAGTCGTAGACCCTCAATCTCTGCACCGCCTAGGTCTAATACCGACGAGGCTTCTAAAGAGCTAAGGGTTGCCAAGACCGTGGGTCAAGCATCAGCAGCCCAACGTACTCAACCTGCTCCACCTATTTGCCACACTTGTGGAAGAGTGGGCCACACCCGCGACCAATGTCGCGTTTTTACGGGGGCTTGCAACAGATGTGGCAAGCAGGGACATCGGGTTGCAAATTGCCCGCAGCCGGACCCTACAGCTCAGAGTACTCAAACTGCATCTCCGCAAGGTTCTACGAATCAGGAGGTGCAGAAACAAAATATCAGGGTTAGGACAAGAGCCCAGCAGGCGAGAGTTCACGTGATGACTCATCAGGAAGCTGTGGCTACCGACGTAATCATGGGTACTTGCTTGCTAATTCTGATTATGCACATGTTTTATTTGATTCAGGTGCATCACACTTTTTATTGCTTGCTCGTATGCTTTGAAACGAGCTTTACCTATTGATAATTCTGATTTTGAACTGCATGTGAACACCCCTTTAGGAGGGGTGATGACTACTAGAGATGTGTGTAGGACGGTAGATAATTGAGTGCTAGCTTATTTGTTTTAGATACCTCGAATTTTGACATCATTCTAGGAAAAATTTGAGTCTGAGGTATATTGGACCATATGCTATCCCGGAAAGAATTGACGAGGTAAAAGGTTAGCCATTTCTAATTGGATGTAAGTTTTAGATTTTATCTCCTAGATTTGAGTTTTGGGGACAAAACTCCTTTTTAGGAGGGGTGGATGTAATATCCCCAAATTTTTAAGGACTTAGTTGTGAGAGATTCTTATTAATGAACTTAATAGTAAAACTTTCCAAAGTCAAGGGGCTTAAAAAGGGGAAACATTTAGGATAAGGATCAAGCTGGTTTTTTTCCTTTTTTCTCTAGCCACTTTCGAGTTCTGCTCATTTTCTTCTTTCACGTCCCCTGCATCCTCCCCCAAGCTGCCGACACACCCTCTTGAGGAGAAGGAATGGTAAAGCTTGATTTTTCTCTTCCTTTCTTGTTTAATCACAAGAATTAGGACCTAGAAGCCTCCTGAAGCAAGAAAAAATCCCAGATCTAGC